TTATTGATAAATATTTTAAAAATTTAACGAATTGTAAGGCAATTTTAAATATCGAAAAATGGAGCTAGTCTGCGACATTTCAATTTGTAAACATTTTCGTGTGAACTTATTACTAAAACCCGTAAACTTTCAAAATATTTGCACAAAACCTATGTAACGTCCGAAGATGGAACATACTGGTTCCCTCCTTCCGGACCCATGCCACAGTGAGCTAACAGTTTGCTGCTCCCGCCGCCGGCGGCTGCTGTTTTTCTAGTACCTACGCCAAAATGAGCCTCATTTTTTTAAAAAAAAGTTAATTAATTTCATCTGAAGCGGATTGTAATATTTAACCCAATTTTGAAAAATCGTTAATCTTCTACTCCAAATGCGAAAGCATCCTCATTTGCTGCACGACCGGCTTAAATCAAAAATAGTGACTTTTGAATTCATGATGCAAAATTGTTCGCTTTATCTATCGACTACACCGACGGTTAACCATTATATGGATTACCATCATTATTCTCCTGGTTATTATCACTATGAAAATCCTTTATCGATTGACTCATGTCGCCGGCATAAAAGAACCTACAAAGTATGTACATATGTACATTACTAGATATCCTTCTTAAAAGGTCATTACCATAACAAACAAAAACTTCTTTAACCCTCAACAACTTCCTCCACCCAGGCCAATTGTGCACGTGATCTAATTTAGTTTTTTATTTCAAAGAAACGCGACTCGTTCAAATGGTGTCATCACTCATTTGTGTCACTAACACACACTACTAGACCAGAAAACAAACAAAACAAAATACACTGAATTCAATTAAAAATTCTATTCAGCCCGATTGAGTTGTTCGCTTCATTTCACAATGTTTGGCATTTCTCAAAACGTTTACTGCCATCGCCGTTGTGTGCCTTCCCTTCCTTCTTTCTTTTTCTTCCATTTCATTCGTTGTCATTAAACCCCAAACCGCATAACCTTCGATTATCTAATTTTTTGGCAGCGATAAAAAACACACAAAAAAGCGATCAAGACGCCAGCAACAACAACTGCAGCAACAACTAAACGGTCAATTTTAAAATAGAGCGCGTTCATGATTTCATGATGAATAAAAGCAACAATCAAAAGCGCACGCAAAAAGTCAATAAACTACAAAACAGCGAACGAAAACAAAATTCCCATTTATAAGTCGGACGAAATACAAAAAAGGGGACAAAGTTAAACAAAAAAAAATAATACAAAAGGTGTAATTAACAAAAAAAAAAAAAAAATATTGCACAAATATTTAATGGCACAAAAAGTGATAGTTCAATGCAAAATTGTCCAATTATTAAAATATGGGGTGTTTTTGTTGTTGTTGTTGTTGAAATAATCGCTTTTTTATAAAACAAACAACATATCTAATTATTACAGTATGGATTAACGATTAGTATGAGTGTATGTGTGTTTTTTTATTTTATTTTAAAATCATGCATAATATTTTTAATTTTCTAAATTTTTAACAACTGCAAATTCTATAATTCAAATTTCTACATATAATTTCTACACGATTCTGATTTCTTTTTTAATATAGGGAAACTCCCCGTTTATAATCTATGGTATCATTCTGTCCCGCAGCATGTGTTCAAAAATTGTTTAAAATTGTTATTGAGTGGAATTTGAATAATTACTTTGACATTGAATTACTCCATTCGAGTTGCATCACATTTTAATTGAAGAATTTAATTTCTTATTTAAACAATCGACAAAAAAGTCGACGAAATAGCAACTATATAATTTGACTAATTTTCAATAATTATTCCTCATTCTGAAGGATGGAATTTTTTGTTTTGATAATTTAGTTAAACAACAGGGCTGTACAATTGAAGCTGGAATCTACGATTCGGGTTTGGAAATTATTTCCAGCTTTTTTCTACCCAATGAGAATTTTATAAGTGATTGTGCCTGAAAAGGAGGGGTTTTTTCTGAAATATCAAATTGTTTTTATAATTGATAACCTGATCTCATTTCAATCATCTGTCTGAGTAAAAGTCAACGATTTCAACAAAGAAACGTATATCGCTATATGTATACTATTGGTCTTTTCCAGTACTTCAATGTAATATTTTTCAATGTAATAATTTTTATTTTTTATTCACACCATAAAGAAGAAATTATTATCGTACTAAAAAAATGTACATTCTTGTAGATTCTGGAACTGGCATTATATTGCAGTTTCGGAAACACAATTAATGTATTAAACGACTGGCTTATCGAAATAATTTAAGTATTAGGTAATAATAAATACACCATTTATTTCAGTTTTCTAACATTACATTAAGAAACTGTTTTTACCAAATATTTTCAAAGCAAAAAAAAACAAAAAAGTTTTGATATTCTCCTAGTTGCGTGTTTGAAAAACTTCCGATTGATTTTCCTGAATACAACCTCAACACAACGACGTGGTTTTATGGAGGGTCAATGTTATGAGGTCAATTGAATTGATGGCGTAAAATGTTAGCTAGCCTTTTCTTCCTCTCACCACGACTAGAACACTTTAGATTACATCTAAAACCAAAACATGTTAGTTTGTAATGCTACATTCCAAACAATAAACACATTTACCCACATACTAACAATAACGAATATATTTTGTATTGGAAGTGGGATTGCAAGCGGGGCCGTCTGTTTGGTCAAAAAATATTCTATACGCTTACGAAGCCCCCATCCCCCACGCAGTCCACAAAATTGTGTGACATTGAATTTGTTTGCGCATTCATTTTCGTCTGAACTTGAACTTTTTCGTTTTATTTTACGAACACATAAAAATAATTAAAACTACGGACGGATTGTGTCATTCGGTTATTTTGTGGCGACAATGACACAAACATTCCAAACCGAATTAAGAGCTGTAAAATTTACAACAACAACAACAACAACAACAACAACGGCATAGGCTGTAGAAGAAACGACAGATGCAAACCTACGGAAAGAAAACTAAGGCCAATTTTCGAGAGAAGTATAAAATAAAACAACGGAAGGCAGGAACAATTTGTTAGTAAAACTGAACTGATGATTGGGTTCGAGTAGATTTTCATGTTGATAATACGTACACATAAAGAACGCACATTGGGGAACTAATTGGAAATTCTCGATTAAAGCGGATAGTAGCTGCATATCGAATATAATACACACAGAAAATCACCTTTAAGATTTATGAAAATTATAAAAATTTATGAATTTACAAAAAAAATCGTCCAATGTGCGTTTCTCCCAGCAACAATAACTTCAGTTTTATCTCACAAAATATATACATAGCGATGTGTGTGTTTTTTATTTAATTTATAAATAATATCATTGTTGCTCATTGTCATGGTATGGCATCATTAAGATAAGAAATCCACAAAAGGGAGAGAGAACAGAAACGAAAAACAAAATAAAGTAATTAAATAATTTATCATCACATCTGTGGTGGATGTTAACAATCATCTCCCGATGACATTACAAGTGGTCATGCAGTAAACAATATCGCACATAATTGTAATGATGACGATGATAGTCGTCATCATGAATATCCCCATTGCTGCTGGGAATTACAAAGTAATAATGCCATAGCTTGACACTATCTGCAGAAAATAGCGACCGAAGCCATTTCTTTACAATTCAAATGTGCCCAACAACGAATGGAGCTATATGCCTGCCAAACAACGGTAGTTATAACCATAATGACCGACCCTCAAAGGAGGAAACATTAAATTTAAATTAGTTGCCCTCCCACTCTGTCGCATATTTAAATATAATTAACAATAGTGTTGGATTTCCTCGTCGTTCACCTCTCTAATTTCAGTTGACAAACCAATTAAATCCAAATCTAAAGTCATAAACAATACTAATAGTAGAAAAATACAGCTACAACAACAACAAGTGATATGTCAACGACATAAAACATCACCTTGAAAAAATCAGTCACGTCAACTTGTGGGTGAGGAAGAGGGAATCGAAGGGGAACCCACCAACTAATATACAATTTGTTGTTATCAAACAATATTCCACGATTCATTAGTGAGATACAGAGAGAGAGAGGGAGAGAGAGAGAATGTTATCACCACACACTCCAAGAACATTTTCGTATGCATCTCAGGCCGGAAATAATAATAATAGAAACAATGCGTGCCCTGGCTGCAAACTGTATGTGCGTGCGTGTGTATGTGTGTTAAAAGTATCGCTACTCGCCAAGAATTCTTAATTGAATCGAAAATCTCGTAGTAGTAATCGATAAACAGTTAAGTGTAAGAATTTTGAATTAATTTACCCAAAAGGTTTCCTGATTTTGGTTATATTCATTGTATTCAAATAGAGATGTCATTGTTTGAATTATTTTCATTTAAAATCTATTCATATATGTATATTGTATTCATGTATGAATATATGTATATTAGGTTTTTGGGCTCGAGAAATTCATTTCTGATCTTTATTTTTACCTATGACCATCTATTCTCATCTATTTTCTGAGAAAATTAAAAAAATCGAATTTTTAATCAAAATTGTGTTATAGGGAAAAAATAATTCTTTGAAAAGTGGGAGGATCGAAAATCGAGATAGACCTATGGTTCCTTCCCCAAAAGTTGGCTAAAATTAATAAAAAAATTTAATTTTGAATCAAAATTATGTTATAGGGAAAAAAGTATTTTTTTTTTTTAAATGGAAGACTCGAAAAGAGACTCGCAATAGACCTATGGTTCCTTCACCAAAGTTGCTTAGAATTGTCCATAGAATCATCCTAGGGGCTGGTTTTAATCGAATTTTTCGGCTTCATACAAATTGGCCCTCCGTCATGTGCAAAGAATAACTACATTTGCGTCATCTCACTATTGGTAAGTTCCGGTACTGCAAGAATCTACCAATTTTTTTTTTTTTTTTTTTTTTTTTTTGATATCATAAAGGAAAAGTTGTTACATATATTACAATGTTGTTGAATATTCGTTACATGTCATTTATATGTATGTATATCTTATACATTTTTCATGTCTGCAACAAGTTACCATTATTATCCATATTGGCATCCCTGTGACGTATTTTTGCTTTATTCTAATCATTAATTGTGTTAAATAAAATTCTTATCATACATAGACGCCTATGTTTTGATTTTTGTGTTGTTGGTGTTATTAAAACGCACATGAAATGGAATGACGCCAAGGTTAGTCATATCAATTGGTCAGACAACTTCAAGTGTTTTTTTTAGAAATAATTTGACATAGAACAAACACTAGAAAAAAATATTGTTTAACATATATGTAACGGGGTCACTCAGTCTAGTGAAGGCAGCACATTTTATGGAATACAGTCAAGCATTCACAGAACGTGAATTGTCGCAATAAAGTTGAACGATTGGTAAGCGTGGAACAGGCGTAAGTATATTCATAGTACCAAACAACTATTCACACGTGATCTGTCACAAAGGCCATTGGAATAATATGTCAACTGGGATTACCCATTAACCAAATTTAATTTTAAAATATTGTCAATATGTTTTGGAAACAATAATATTTTTAAATTATTTTTAGTTTTTTTTTACTTTGGATATTCTCCCAGGGAGTATTTTATCACACCACTAAACAAAACCTCCTTTTCCCAAATATGAGAAAGAAAATTTGTCCAGATTCTTTTTTCAGACATGGAAACTGGTAGGCAAATGCGAAGTTGGCAAATATTCAGGGACCATTCATAGGCAATAAACAATCAAAAATTGAGCTTTAAATGACGACAGCAAACAAATAATAAAAATGGGAACAATAATAAAAATATCAACAAATAAAAAGGATACAATAAAACATACTTATGTAAACTTTTGAAACAATAAGACTTATTGTTAACAAAAAATATAGAATTTCTTGGATCACCCGAAGTGGTTCAGTATTAAAATAAAGGCCCCCCAATTGGGGCCTTCAAATAAACGCAACAAACAGTAACATGAACAAATTCAGCATTTAAATTTAATTGACAGAAATATTTCTATTCCTCTTGGGCTGCCCCACTCCCCCTCTGTCATTAGCCTTCAGTGCATTCCATTATAATTGTTTAAAAAAGCACCCAGAGAAATACCGAAGAAAACAAAAACAAAAAACTACGAATATGACTCCAACAGCCAGATGTTCATGTGTTCAGCTTTTAAGTTTTGTTTTTGTTTTTTATGCGACTGTTCGCTTCAGCTCTTGTGTCATGAATAACTTGAAGAATGTGAGAAAAAAAGAAGAGGCATACAGAGAAACACACAATACGAGTATGTATGGATCACACAAACAGACAGACAGACAGACAGACACCATTATGAAAAACAAAGTGGACACATGATTAACTCAAAGGGTAAGGGGCGTCCCAAACAACAGCATCATCAGTGGAGAACTGCAGCTGGAACAATACAAGCGTTTGTTCCATTGATAATAGGCAAAGCGAGAAGTTAAAGCTAGGGGAGGGCGGGCTGAGGGAGCAACATTACCGGAAAATGCTTCATCTTTCAGTGGCGTTTCAAGACATTCATAAAAAATAAATATGTTTGTGATTTGTTTTCAAGCTGCTGCTGTCATGACTGCAGTCGTTGCTGCCGTTGTTGTTATTGCTGGCATTTGTTTTATGTCCGATGATTAAGTGAAATCGCCCTCATGAGGTCAGTTGTGAGTTTTGAGTTATTTTTGTACGGCAACAACAAGAAAAAATAGCATTTATTTGTTTTTTCTATTTTTCCCCTTTACGCTTTTCGAAGGGGGCATCCGATCAATGTCCAGCAATTACCATGGCTCCAGGCGCATCTATATACAACTTTATAAGGCCTTATCAATGCGAGATGAGTTAAAAATGCTCATAGTGAAAAATGTTCTCAATGTATAAACACATGTATGTATGTGAACATTGGAGATTTCTTCTAGACAATATATTAAAGAGCTTTCAAAAAAGAAGTATGAATAAAATGTTCATGAAAGCAATAATAATATTGGCTGGAATTTATCCGACAATATCAATGTGTTTTTATTTATACTCCTTGTATTTGTGTCGGAAAATAGTAGAGAAATAATGTGTTACATCAAGTATACGTTCATATGTAGGTGTCAAATGGCAAAATATTTATAATAATGCGTATCTAATTTTAAATATTCATTTATTTAAATGACTATGGTGGTGGTGGCGGGGATGTCGGCCAGAAAATGTCAATCTTCTGTGTAATGGTTTTGCCATTTCTGGTGGGCGTAAACTGACCATTTGTTGTGGAAGCATAACAACTGTTTGCTTTCCCCATTATAATGCATTAATATTTGATTTAACGAAAAGCTGTGACAGTCGAATGACAATGCATCATTTATGGAAGCCGAAAAGCAAAGTACAAACAAATATATGAATATATTTTTAAAATAAAGTACTCGTCATTTATAATTTGACAAAAATATATTTTCAAAATTACTTACAAATTTATCGTCGTTATAAATATAAATTGCAAATATACAAAAATATAATTTATAATTAGAAAAGCATATTTTATTATATCTAAACAAATAATGTATGTACACAATTCTTCACGGAAACATTTAATTTGAATTGTCTCATTTGGTGTCACATTATTGTTTTTGTGGTTTTATTTATCACATTTTATTGTTGTACCTTATTCTGTTCTAGAAAACAACAACATATTCGATTTTTGGAAATATTTAGTAATATATTAATAATAAAATCCAATGTTAGATTTTGAAGACACATCTCTGACGTTCTCTAATTCGGCATACCGGTGCCAAATGAAGGATACCTTACGGTATATATTTGAATATTTTATTTTTTAAATAAACTTCACTGTCAAAGGTCACCGACAAAAACCAAAATTATGGCACCTTCGCAAAGTAACGGCATATTGAAGATGTAAATTATTTAACCATAAATTCGCCATACTTATGGTCCATTCCAAAACATGGAAATATACAATAGTATTTTACAACATAAAGTGGAAAAAACAAAACAAACAGCCGACATGTCCAAGACCTCAACAAACAAGTTTTTTTAGTGGAAACTCAGAAGGCCGCATTGTAACAAATTAGCAGAATTTCTTACTTTACTCTTCGTTTTACAAAAAGAAGATATGAAGTAACCCAAAAGTTAGGTGTTGTTCACACCTTCCTGCTAAAATGTTTGACACCTAAAAACGTAAACACATGTTGTAACTCATCATGGTCATGTCGGAGAGACGCCAATGTTTTCCTCATACAATGACGAGGAAAAAATAGGAAATAAATTTCATATTTAACAACAAAAATGCGATTGTGTACAGCTTGTAAGTACTTAAGAAGCTAAATGGATGGATGGATGGATGGATGGATGGATGGGGAGACATCGATTGCGATTCCACAATCTGAATTCAAACAAAATGCACTTCCGCCGTTCATTGGCAGAAACACAAATAGGAAAACATGAATTTCTAGTGGGATGTTGTGTAAATGCTATTGTCGCGTTATTCCATTCAAAAAAAACTAACATCCAACCACCCCCTACTTATGAATGCATTTCAGATTATATGCTGACAAAAAAGTAATGCAATTATAAATGTAATAGTCACACATTCTACAAACATAATGCCCTCAATGAAATTTCATGCATTTCTTCTTTAAAACGCAAATTCATTCATATTTTGTTGGGTAGCCCTTTTTTATTCGATGTTGGGTAGTCACATAGGCGGCATATTTCTACTTATTGGAATTGTCACGTTTAGCACATCCGAACTCTTGTTCGTGGCAGACATGTTGCTGCAACTCTCTGTTTACAAGATTTACATGACTCTGTTTTGACAGACACAACAATGACCGGAGGTTTATTTTTTGTTCATAGTTCGCATGAACAGCGAAAAACAACATTGCCGGATTAAATATAAATATTCATTCATTTTAAAATTTAAATGCATTTTTATATCATCACAGTAAGACATACATACATATTTATTTATGCATTTTTATTATTTTGTTTTATTTACTTGTTTTTTTCTTTTTTTTTGCTAGAAATAGTAAATGACTTTAATTACATTTTTTATTTGCAACATGTCGATGGAATGAAGAAAGTTCACAGCACGACGACGGCGACCCATCGCCACCATCAGTAAACAAAGTGATTCATTCTGAGATTCTATGAAATTCTGTTAAGTCATTTTTGAAATAAATTCGTACCGCCTCTCCCATTTTATACTAAAGAGCCAAGTCGATCGCGATTACATTGCAAGTTGTGGGCATTTCCAAGAAATTTTTACATAAATAAATCCTATTATAATTATTAACTATTGAAGTATAAATTATTGTAAGCAGTTGCATAATTGTTTTATAAAATAGAATAGAAATGACTCTCAATTTCCATCGGTATTAAAAAATATTTTTTTTATTTAGCATCAGTGCATAACATATTCTGATCTCAATTCATAAGAGATATGATAATGAATATTTATTTTAAATAATTAATAATTTGGCCCAGCACACAATTAAAAAACTTATATTGAAAGAAATTGTCATCTACACCGACTAAATGGAATTCCTGATCTACGGAATGTCAACATTAACTTCTCATAAAGAAACTCTTCAAGAAATATTCGAAAAAATAAACTCCTCAAGTATAATTTGTCTAATCAATTCCTAAGAAATATTCAAATCTGAATATGCGGATGTGTGGCGGTTTCTTAAATTTCACATAATCATCCCAATCAAAATGTTCGTAAATTACTTTGGAAATAAATTTCTGCATTAGTTCCAAGTACTGCCTCTCATGAAAAGAAAATGGAAAATGCTGTGTGAGCAAAACAATACTCGTCCAACCACCAAGACAAATACCAAAAAACACACCTACCAAATAAATTTGAAAATTTTGCATAAATACAAAAAATATGTTTTCCTGTATATTTTCTGCCCACTAAGCAAAAATAACAAAAACAAAGAAAAATTCAGCCGACTACTAACACACTGAACACCACAGACACAGCTAAACAAAAGTAGCAACGACGTCACGTCCAACTGCCAAAATCCAGAAATAGG